CAAGCTTACCTACTTCTGGTTTTCACACCTAACTCAGAAATGATGCAGCTATACTACTGTTTATATCCAAAAGAGATCAAATTATGAGGAAACGGTCCTATATGCACAAAAATATTTATAGCAGCTCTTCTTCTAAAAAAAAACCTAGAAAACAAGGGGATATCCTACAATCGAAGAATAGTTGAATAAGTTGTGGGATATGAATGTGATTGGATTACTATTGTGCTTTAAGAAATGAGGAAATAGATGGTTTCCAAAAGACATGAAAAACATATCAACTGATACAGGGTGAAGTAAGCACTCTAAACAATACTCAGAAGAACAATTTATACTATAACATCAATATTATAAATATAAACATGAACATAAACTGATGAAGAACAAAATAAGCCGAACCAGGACAACAATTTATACGGTAACAACAACACTGTAAAAACAAACAGCTTTGAAATCTATGGTCAATACTATGATCATCCATGATTCTAGGAGACCAGTGATGAAGCATGCTATCATTGCAGAGAAATGATAGATTTAGGATACAGGATGAGACATATGTGTGTTTGTTTGTATTTGTATTATTGAGGGAATTTGTTTTGCTAAACTATGTGTGTTATAAGAAATTTATTTTTCTTTTCTTTGTTTTTTTTTTTCCAAAGGGATGGAAGGGACCATTTCTGTTAATCAAAAAAATAGGTGTAGCTAAGTGGCACAGTGGATAGAGCACTGATCTTAGAATCAGAAAGACTCATTTTCATGTGTCCAAATCCAACCTCAAACATTTACTAACTGTGTGACCCTGGGCAAGTCACTTAACCCTGTTGTTTGCCTCAGTTCCTCATCTGTAAAATGAGCTGGAGAAGGAAATAGTAAACCACTCCAGTATCTTTGCCAAGAGAATCCCAAATGGGGTCAAAAAGGATTGGACATGACTGAAAAAATGACTGAACTGCTACAAATGTGAATTGTTGTATGCGCTCTGCAATGAGGTCACTGTACTATTATTAACTTTTCTATTTCACTTTATTACATGATCTTGCATGAATGGAGGAAATTCATAAATATTTGTTATATAGAAACAAAATATCAATAAAACTTAGGAAGAAAGAAAGAATGCATCATGATATGGAGGGAAGAACACTGGACTGGGAGACAGGAGACCTGAATTCTAGTCCTTTCTGCATCAGTTATACAGCTATAAAACCCTGGACCAATCACTTATTTCAGGACTTCATTTTTCTTGTCTGTAAAGTGGGACAATAATTCATGCCTTATCTCTCTCTCAGGGTTGTTGCATAAGTGGTAGGTAAGATGATGCATGATAAAAAGGTTTAGAACTGATGTGATATGCTTTTGTTTGGATTTCACATCCCAATCTTTACAAAGAAAATAATCATACATTTAGCTTCTTCTCCCTATTCCTCACTGCCTATTCAATGCCTGCTCCTCGTTCAAGACCCAGTTTCAGTTCCAGATTCTCTATGAAGCCCCTCCTCGCCACCTAGGGCTGCCACTTGCATTGGGCCCTTCTCATTTGGTCTCATACTGTTATTTGACTTTTCACGTATTTATGTCTTGTCTCCCTATCTGGAGCATGAGTTCCTGGATGCTACTCACACATGAAATTTTACCTCCTGTCTCCATGTTTTGCACAAGTTTCTCCTCATGCCTGCAAAGAACTTTAGAATCACCTCCACCTCTTAGAATCCCTGTTTCCTTCAAAGCTCAGCTCAAGTGCCATTTCCTGTATGAGACTTTTCCTGATTCTCCCAGCCCCTATTGCCAACCCTTGTACTCCTGCCAAAATTATATATTTACTTTGTCTATATCTTGGGTCTGCTCATATATGTACATGTTGTCCTCACCCAGTAGAATGTAAGCTTCTTGAGGGAAGGAACTGTTTCATTATTATCTTTGTATCCCCAAAACTTAGCACAGTGTCACCATTGAACAGATGCTTAATATATATTTGTTGATTGATTTAGGGCATAGACCAAGTCTGATTCTTCTCTGGGACTCTCTTAATATCTGACACAATGCCAACTCATGAAACCTCATTTTTCCCAGTGTTGAGTTAAGATAAAGGGTTTGATTGTGGGTTATGATGTCAACAGGTGTTGTGAAAACAGCAAGTTTATTTTGTAATGTTGCCATAGCAACTTCCACTGCTATAGCCATCCCCAAGGATTTTGATAATCAATTTATCTTGTTACCAAGGAAACATCAGCTATTTGTGGTATAATAGGGACAAAAGAGGGACAAAGAGTCAGTAATTGTTTATCTTTACTCCATCAGAAAATGGGCAAAATATTTTACAGTGAAAAGGTGGCTTACTACCATATCTCCTATTGGAATGACTTCCCTTTCAGGCAATAAGAAATTTAAATAAGACCAAAAACCCTGCTCTTTAGAGCAATTAGGAAGATGAAATCCTTGTCAAAAGATTTGGGAATTCTTTCAAGGTTTCAGAATTCTAAGATCCTCTGTTTGATTTGTGAATCATTTAATGCAAACTGGATTTAAATGTTTTGTTTTTAGAGAAAAGCAAAGCAATTAGGTGATTCCCCCCCATATTTGTTTCAACCAACTTCATTTATTGCTAGAGAGACAACTTAAAAATTGCGTAACATTCCAAATGGAACAGGCCGTTGATTCTAACCAGCTGTAGGATATTGAGGAAGTCTCTTCATTTATTTTAGTTTTCTCCTAATAGAAAAGTCATACCCATACATGGTTTGGATAGGAAGAGCACTCGATTTGGACCTAGGTTTGAATCCTGACTCTGATACTTACTTCCTAATATGACTTTGTGCAAATCATTTCCATTCTTTGGGCCTCAGTTTCCTTATCAGTAAAATGAGGATGATGATAGCACTTAGCTCTCAAAGTTGTTGTGAGGATAAAATGAAGTATTTGTAAAGCATTTTGCAAACCTTAAAGATCTACATAAGTGCTAGCCATTATCATTATTATTATTGAAGGATGGGATCATTTCCAAGAAAGAACAGCTTAAGTGAACACAGGCAGGCTCATCAGTAGAAAGTGGACCATTGAGTGATAATTTTCTTTTGTCAAAGACAATCTACCAAGTCATAGAGAAGTTGTGATCTTTGTTAGTGGAGGAAGTGCCTATACAGAGACATCATTAATTGTTAGAATACTGAAAGTTCTTACTATGCAAATGACACTGAGGAATATGGATACAAAGAAATATTCAGCATTATCTCTGCCTTAAAAATTCTTCCAATTCTATTCAGGAAAATATGATATGATAGAGCTAATTAAATTAAAACATTTATTAAGTGCCTATTATGCTCAGAGCATTATTTGAGAAAAACACTTTGTGAAAAAGGCACCATGATTTCCCCAATATTACCAGTTTCTAAGATCAGTTGTGGAAAAGGAAGCCTCTCATCAGTTAAGCCAACTGTCAGAATGAAAAAGGAAAGGTTGTCTTTCCTTTCTGCTCAGAATAAGTCTCTGAGCAGATTTCCCTGCTCCCCTTGTTAAATAATTAATCTTTCAAACAACAGAGAGATACCCACTACTCTTCCTCTGAGAGGTGGTGGTAAGGGTGGGGCTGGAATATTTTCACTTCAGATTGTACAGAAACAAATCAAAACAGAAGAAGCCTGCCTTGCCTTCTCTCTCTTTAAAGACACCATGCAAATATACTCTAGACCAAGAAGACTCTGATGAAACAACATGCACAGAACACAGAAAGGCATGACCCCATGAAACAAAACTGGACACACCTGACTCCAGGAGGCTGGGGGAACAAAGGGCTGACAGTTAATGATATTTACAACAGAGGCTTTTGCCATTGTGACTGTATTTTTATAAGTTCACCCAAGGACCAAAGGCCATACTAGACACTTGAAGGTTCTGCTTACTCATTCAAAGAAAAAGAGATACAAGAGCAGATGCCCATATATCTCACCTATTTTTCCCTTGCTGGTTCTATCTTATTATTATAATATTACCTCACAAGTATGGAGAGTTTGTTTGGTTTGTGCTAGATTTTCACATTCACTTCATCCTTGCTATAACCCTGTGGGTCAGGGCATGCATTATTATTCATGGTTGGCAAATGGGGAAATGAAGATAGAATTATTTCTCTGACCCTAGGGAATGAGGAGAGTGTTGAGAAATGGAGATCTATGTGTATGAATCCTGCCTTTAACTCAGGAGTTTTTAACCTGGGGTCTGTGAACTTAAAAAAAAACAAACCTTGCATTTTAACATATTTTGGCTTCTCTTATAATCCCATATATTCTATTTTACAACATTTAAGAACACTAAGAAGGGCATAGACTTCATCAGACTATCAAAGGAGTCCAGGACACAAAAAAATTGAAGATCCTTGTTTTAACTCACAGCGGTCCTCACCCTTTCCCCTACTCTCCAAGACTTAATCTTGTTCCCTAACCAGAGACCCCATGCAGACTGGTGCAAATAAAGAGCCCCAGGTGTCTCTTCCTATTTCTTTGTCACTGTTGTTTGTAGTCCATTTTGAGGGGGGCAGGAAAGGGAGACACAGATATGCACAGTTGGAGGCCCAATGTTCACCCCCAGGTAGCCCATGTCTGACCAGTCTCATAGCTCGGAACCTCTCTGCTCTGATCTCACCCCTCCAGCTTTGGCTTCTCTTCTGATGAGAGGAAGAGAGAACAAAGAAAAGGAAGGAGTAAAGATCCTAGACCCAGACTGAGGCTCCTAGCGCTCCCTGTTGACTGTCTCAAATCCCATCTCTGGACAGAGGAGTTAGGACCGAAGTGATAAACAAGATACATTTGAGGATGAATAAGGGTGGTTTCTTTGAAAAGCTTTGCTGCCCACGCAGTCGGGGGAGGGGTGGAGGAGACAGGAAGAAAGGGGAACAACACATTAAAACTTGTTCCTTTAGATGCTGCGAAAATAGTCAGGAGGGAGACGGGCGTGAAAGGGGGTTCCAGGGTCTGTGTGAATGTCCCACCTTCGGGGTTTGGAGAGTATCCTATTACCTGGGCGGCCATAAATGAAAGGTCCATGGTGTGGCTGCTCCTGCTGTGGCTGCTGCCTTCTCTGTTTTCTCCGCCGCCGCTGCCTTCTCTGTTGCCTTCGCTGCTGTTGCTGCTGCTACTGTCACCGCTGCTGCTGCTGCAGCTCCAGCTGCTGGGATCTGGAGGGGCGGAGTAGGAGGTGGTGACTGACTCGGCTCTTGCCCCGAGAGATGGCAGCTGTCTCACCGGTCCCCGCAGCTTAGTGGGGTTGGTCTGGGAGACCCGTACACCTCCTGGGCTCTGGGCAGCGAGGCTGTTGGCCTGGCAGATATGAGGCTGGGGGTAGTCCTGGAGAAGGCGGGCTGGCTCCCGCCCTACCATGTGACCGCCTCCTACAGAGCTGTTCAGCCTCAGCCTCTGGCTTGGCCCTGGCCAAAAGACAGACTCAGCCCAGCCCAGCTCTGCTGTCCTTCTTTGGAGTCTCCCGGATGCCCTATGCGCGGCCCTCCACGCCCCCATGGCCCCGCCAAGTGTTTCTAGTCCCAGGCCAGAAAACCAAACAGGTCTTAGGGCAAAAGAGACGATACTGTAGGTAACTGATAATACGGTCATTCCCATTTATAGAGAAGAAAAATCAAAGCTCTTGACAGTCTGACTCCAAATTACCTTTCTGCTTTCGTCACTTTCCTACCTGCCCGCTAGGATTACTATAAAATTCATAGCGTTCCACATTTTAGAAATGAGCTTTTGTAATGTTGTAATGGATATTATTGCCCCCTACTATGGTGCATGTTTCATGAGGACTGGCACTGCCACAATCATCCCCAGCACTTCTGATGTCTTGGGCATTTGTTGCTCTTAGGTCGTTTAGTCCTGTCCAACTTGATGTCCCCATTTTTATTGGATTTTCTTGGCAAAGACACTGGAGTGATTTGACATTTCCTTCTCCTGAGTCCCCATTTTACAGCTGAGGAAATTAAGGCAAACAAAGGTTAAGTGACTTGCCCAGGGTCACACAGCTAGCAAGTGTCTGAGGCTGGATTTGAATGTAGGTCCTCCTCACTCCAGACGCAGCATTCTATCCATTGTACCATCTAGCTACCCCTGGACATAGGAAGCCCTTTATGAACAAATAAATTAAAAGTACTCATTAAGCATCAATAAATATTAATGTATGCCAAGCACTGTGCTAAAGTTAAGGATAAAATACAAAGGCAAAGAAATATAGTCTCTAGTTTCAAGTGGTTTACATTCTAATTGGATGAGGCTGCACAAATAGAGGGGTGGTGGCCAGGGAGGAGTCAGGGAAAATTGGCAATAGGGCAATAAAGGGGTATACTGAAGTACCCTTTCCAGGAAAAAATGGCAGAGGTGGTTTGATCACACAGCTGCAGAACTGAAGAGTGTGTTAACTGAAGAGTAGGGGAACCACAAACTGTTACCAAGGCTTTTGAGAAGAGTACCTGGGAACAGGGAGTGAATTGAAGCACGGTTGAGGTTTGCCTAAAATAGTGGGCCAGGCAAAGTGGTCACCAATTAAGATAGTAGGGCCCTAGGATGGAAGTTCTGGACACAAAAGAGTTAGAACATCTAGAGTATGGTTTCTGGTCCCAGAAGCAAAGCTTTCTTGGGTGTTTTGAGAAGATGGCCTAAGGATGAATTGGGTTGAATTCAGGAGTACTATCTGAGTCTTCTTGTTTCAGTCAAACCAGACTACAAGCCATTATTAGAATTCATCAGAAACTTACTTTTCCCCTGAACCCAAAAATGATATAGAAGAAATATATGATATTTAGAATCAGGAGACATAACTTGAGCAGGCATTTCCTTTGTTTTGCATTAAATGAGGGGGTAGGATTAGATTTGAGATTACCTCCAACTCTAACCATAATAGGTTCTATGATTCTATGATTTCTTCAACCACTTGCATTCTGTAGTTCATAGTATTCCCTAGATCCTTTTCTTCAAGACTTGCTTTAAGTGATACTTCCTCTATGATGTCTCCTCAGGCCTTTCAGATTAAAAGTGATTTTCCTTCCTCTATGTTTCCATAGCCCTTTGCTTGTACCTTTCCTATGGTCCTACTCACATTTTGCCTTATATTAATAAGTAATTGTGTTAAAATTAAATAAAGACACACCACAAACCAAGATAAGGTCAAAATGGGTACATGATCTACATCTAAAGGGTGATACCATAAGCAAATTAAGAAAGTATGGAATAGTTTATCTGTTACATCTATGGATAAGAGAAGAATTTAGAACTAAAGAAAATGTAGAGAGCATTACAAAATGTAAAATAGATAATTTTAATTATACAAAATGAAAAAGATTTTTCACAAACAAAATCAATGCAACCAAAATTATAAGGAAAGCAGAAAAGTGTGAAAGAAATTTGCAACAAGTTCCTGATAAAGGCCTCATTTCTTACATATATAGAGAATTGATTCCAATGTATAAAAATACAAGTCATTCCCCAATTGTTAAATGGTAAGAAGATATGAACAGGTAGTTTTCAGATGAAGAAATCAAAGCTATCTCTAGACACATAAAATGCTTTAAATCACTATTGATTAGAGAAATGCAAGTTAACCCAACTCTGTCTGAGGTCCCACCTCACACCTATCAGATTGGCTAATATGACAAAAAAGGGAAATGATAAATATTGGAGAGGATGTGGGAAAACTGAGACACTAATGCTCTGTTGGTGAAGTTGTGAATTGATCTAACCATTCTGGAGAGCAATTTGGAACTATGCCCAAAGGGCAACCAAACTGCGCATACTAGCAATACCACTGCTAGTTCTATATCTCAAAGACATAAAAAAGAGAAAAGGATCTATTTGTACAAAAATATTTATAGCAGCTCTTTTCGTGGTGGCAAAGAATTAGACATTGAAGGGATGCCTGTCAATTAAGGAATGGCTAAACAAGCTGTAGTGTATGGTTGTAATGGAATATTATTGTACTATAAGAAATGACAAGCAGGATGATTTCAGAAAAACTTGGAAAGACTTACATGAACTGATGCAGAGTGAAGTGAGAAGAACCAGGAGAACATTTGAGCAATATTGTAGGATGAAGAACTGTGAATGACTTAACTATTCTCAGCAATATAATGAACCAAGACACTCCCAAAGAATTAATGATGAGGCATACTTTCCACCTCCAGAGAAAGAACTTATATTGTTTGAATACAGACTGAAGTGTGCTATTTTTCATTTTCTTTCATTCTTTTTGTTTTATTTGAATCTTCTTGTACAAAATGACTAATATGGAAATGATTTACATAATTACATGTGTATAACCTATATCACCTATATCTGAATGCTTACTATCTCAGGGAGGGGGGAGGGCAGAAAGGGAGGGAGAGATAGAATTTGGAACTCAAACTTTTAATAGTATTTTTCCCCAGTTACACGTCAAGACAATTTTTATTTTTTTTTAAATAAAGGATTTATTATGCATCAAGTAAAGTTTTTAAAGTAGAGGGTGATAATTACAATCTCAGGTAAAGCAATGTAAACACAGATACAGGTAAAAGGAAAAGAGTAGGAAAATTACATTATTCTCAAGGGGCCCATAGATAATGGGTCAATATCAATTGTATATATGTATTTATATACACATATATGTGTGGATGTATGTGTGTACATATATATATATATACATATAGACACACACACACATACACATATACATGTATACACTGAAGACATAGCATTTAAATGCCTAAAGAAAAAGTTAACCTAATACAGGGAGAAATAGACAGCAAAACAATTAAAACAATAATAGTTAGGAACTTCAATGTCCCTTTTGAAGGCCTAGAGACTAATGTAACAAAAAATAAACAAGAGAAAAGTTAAAGACTTAAATAGGCTGTCTTAAAAGTTAGATATTATAGAACTCTGGCAATTATTGAACAGAAAATGAAATAGAGCCCAATGGTTTAAAACTGCACTAAGACTTCTGGAGCAATATAAATACATACACACAGACATCTAAGTATATACATAGATTTATATATGCAAGTATATGCATATATATGTACAAATGTGTGTATATGTACATATGTGTGTATATGTATGTGTAAATATATCTACAAACATACATATATGTTAGTATGTAAGACACTTTTGCAAAAATTGACTATGTACCACAACATGATAACCTCCCAAACAAATTTAGAAAAGTAGAAATATTAAGAATCCTTTATTGAGAACAACACAATAAAAATTATAACCAATAAAGAGCTTTTAAAGAAAGAATCTGACAAACCCTGGGAAACTCTGGACCCACTGAAAGGACTCATTTTCAAGTCAGATTCTTATAGATTTTTATCATTTTTCAGTCTGTTGATGACAATATTTATATCAGGTACAGGATTTAGAAAATGATAGAAATAGCAAGGGATATTTAAGAACTGAAATTCTCTAAAGTTTCAAGTTATCTATGGGTTCCCAATTTAATGTTTTTCTTTTGGCTCTATTGTTAATAAGATCAGAACCACAAGGTTTAAACTAGTTGTCACCACATGACCAAGCTATTGGAAAAGTAATGTTTAAGATGTTGTACTAAATTGTGTTGAGATCTGTTTTGTAAAAGATTTTAGCAAGAACATTCAAGGAACTACAAGTGATATTGAACCAGAAAAACAAATTCACTAAACAGGAGTGTCCACTTAAATGCTGACCCAAGGGAAGATGTTTCCAGAAGACCAGATGGTTGCAAAGGACATCTGAGATTCAAGATGAAATGTGCTGATTAGAAGGACATTGGATGGGGGTCATTTCTAACCCATAATTCCTTGGTGGAAAGATCTAACTTGGCATTTCTGCCTCAGAGGTTTCTTTTCATAGTGAAGTTGAGTTAGATTCCTCCCACCCTTGGTGGCCCTTTTAGCCTTAAGGATGTTATGTACCCCATCTTTTTCAGGGACTCTGTGCTATCCCAAGATAATTTTTAGCATTCATTTTCACAAGAATTTGAGTTCCAAATTTTTATCCCTCCCTCCACTCTTGTCTTCTGAATGGTAGGCAATTTCACATAGGTTATACATATGCTATCATGTAAAACATTTT